GTGGAGTTCTCCATCACTAACACATCCATATAAGTATGTGTCACCTAGTACGAAGTACTAACCCAGCACGCTAGTAGAACGATAAGCCTTATCGATGTGCTTTGCGATTCCCAAAGTACCACCCCACTGACGCAACTCAGTAAGGTTTCCATCAGTGAATCTGGCACAATAAGTTGGGGGACAATTTCTCTTCTATTCAAGTTGTTATATCGTGTTTATTTTCGCAGTTTTCTCACCACACATTTTCGATATGCCGCCTTCTCATGAGATCTTGACGGACGATTATGTTGCCGAGCTGCTGTCTAAAGAAGCCAATGACTGCTCCTTAAAGTACTCAGCAATGGGCTTGGATGCCTTCAAATCAGACAAGTGAGTCACCGTGTAGCCCTTGACTGATTAATATGTTACAGCATTCCTTTTCAATTACTATCACTACTGTGAACACTCTTCTGTTTCCGCTCTTCCAACCGCTGCGGATACTAACAGCAATTACTGTAGACGTCCTGCAAACCAACCCAAGCCAAATACCCGGTTCCTCAACAACATTATCCGAGATACCAACAACCACAACCGAGCGCTACTCGCCAGGGAAAATGCCGAATCTCAAGCCAGGCTGCGCGACCTCGAGGAGGCCGATCGCCGGAAACGCGACGAAGACGAGCGCAGAGAGCGACGATTCAAGCCGGGCCTGGGCGACACTCGAAAGCGCATGCTTGGCGATATTGCCGCTATACTAGGTGGCTCGTCCAAGAAGCGTAGACACAACGAGAGTAACAGCAAAGTCGCAAGTGTCGCATCAGACCGGGATGAGCCCAATTCCACACATGGCCGTGATCGGAAGCGCAGACATCGAGACGACGATAGCAAATCGAAGAGCAGGAGCAGAAGAGACGACCATCGCGCTGATTCTCGCGATCATCATCGCCATTCCCATCGTCATTCCCATCACCGCGAGGAACGGCGGCGCCACCACAGATCTAGCTCGGGTGAAAGGCGGGAAGATCGACATCGAGAACACAGAGAACGGTCTTCCCGAGAAAAAGACGACGGCTCTAGACATCATCACCGCTTGGAGAAAGGGAATACGCATCAACCTACTCCCTCTTCAAGCAAAATTCACGATACCGATTCCGACTCCGATCCGCTCGACGACCTCATCGGCCCTGCACCTCCTTCCAAATCGACTGTTCGTCGCCGAGGCCGTGGTCATAACGCCGCCATGTCGGGCATCGACGGTCGCTTTGCCGCCGACTATGACCCTACAATTGACGTGACCCCAGACCCTGATGAAGGTGGTCATGACGATTGGGATAACGCCGTGGAAACGTTCCGAGACAGGCAAAAATGGAAACAACAAGGAGCGGACCGCCTCCGTTCTGCGGGTTTCACCGAAGAACAGATTCGGAAGTGGGAGAAAGGAGACAAGAAAGACGAATCCGATGTGCGATGGGACAAGGCCGGCGGTGTGCGAGAATGGGATCGTGGGAAAGTTCTTGATGCGGATGGTGGCGTGTCCCCGGAGCCGGAGTTTGGTCGACTAAAAGGCACATGAAAACGCTGAGCACATTGGCAGATGCGTCATGCATTGCGTACTTAGTTTTCTCGCTCTGGTTTTTTTTCTCAATTTTTTGTTCATCGGGGGCTTGGCCGTTTAGAGTGGCGTTGGTTTCAGCATTGTGTTTCGCTTTTGCATTCCACGGCGTTTTTTGAATGCATGCCCAGCGATAAGGAGTTTTTGATAGCTTGAGAATAAGGTATGTCTCGAAACTTGCGTCTTATCATATACAGTGGTTGTTGCTCGCCTATGTGGGTTACATCAATGTTCCTGTTTCACAACTTATCTATGCACACTCAGTCTATATGTGTATTCCTTATAAAACATTTCCGCCGCATCAATCGCCGAAAATCCGTCGCAGACCAAAATTGGATCCCGAGCTGCCTGGCGTCGAAGCAAACAATCTCTGTAGGCCGTAATCGGGCGAAGACAGTCGCACAGGCGAGCCATCGATGGGGCTCCACGCCTCCGGAGGCGTGGCGAAGAGCTCCGTCAACCCGTAGTCTGGGGACGAAGCCGGAGATGGAATGGGGGATTCCACGGGGGATAGAATACGGCGAGGCGAGGCCGAGCGACTCTTCCGATTTGATGATGGGTAGAGGCCGCGGAGGCCCATGCTCGAGCTCGAGAACGACCTGTATTCCCCCGGGATCGAGACCCTGTGTCCGCGGTCTACACTGCGGCCCCGGACCCCCGGGCTGGGATTGCGAGACGACGGGGGCGTCACGGGCTTCGATCCGGCCGTGAGCAACTTATGGCTTCGCCAGCTTAGCCTTCTCTGTCCTAAGCCGTTGTTGTCCAATGTAGACGGGTCGCTCGACTCGGAGAGAAACGGGCCCATGAATCTGCGGGCGAAGATAGAGATTGCGGAGGATGAGCTGTGATGGGAGAATCGTGGGGGGTATAAGCCCCCTGCTGCCGAGGATACGGTGGGATACTCCTCCTCGATAGGTCTTGCTGGACTTGGCGCTCGCGAACCCGGGGCGGATTCTACTGTTGTGGTAAATCGTCTTGTGCTCCCGGGTCGCGATAATCTGGAATGCCACGAGTTGGCCGGCGACCGGCCGCCGTGCATGAAGTACGGCAGCGGCTGCCTCGTGCTGTCGACTCGTTTCCTGCCCCGGCGCTGCTGTTGTGACTGGCCACCTAGCGTTTTGCTTTGCTGGGCGCTAGAGGCTTCTTTTGTCGGCGTTGCACTGTCGGCGTCTCCACGTGGCTGCGCTGATGGGCCCGGCGTGCTGGCCGCTGGTAAAGTGAATCTGAACAAGCTACCCAACTTCCTGCGGAGAGACGCGAAGAAGTCCCGCATAACATATCTAGATCGTCGTTTTTGTCGTCGGTGGGGCTGTTCGCCTGAGTGGCGGCGGTGCTTCTTATGGCGCTGTTTCGCTTGCTTCTGGCGCTGGTGCTGTCCACGCTGGCTTCCCGTACTGGTTTGACTACCATGCGGTTGATCGTGGTATTGTGCTTCTTGAACGGGCGTCCGGCTCAGTGGTGGTGCCGAGTTGGATCGTTTGGAGGGAGGTTTCGATGCCCCTTTGGTTGCGGCAGCTTTCGCTCTCTTCGGCGAATTCGTCCCCTGGATACCCCCCGTCGGCTTCCCCCTCGCCTCCTTTTTCAACTTCCGCTGCTCCCGTTTCTCGCGCTTCTTCTTCGCTTCCCGTTCTTGGTTCTCCCTCTCCGCTTTCGCTCTGATGATCCCGAAGAAGGAATAGGGTGGCGAGGCGGGACGCGGAGGGTAAAATGGAGCCGGCTGCGGCCGGGGTGGCGGGATGGGCTCCTCTTGCTCGGACGGTACGCTGTGCTGTCGTGCCCGCGGGCGGCGCCGCCGCCGTGGTCTGGTGTTTGCTGCCGCTGGTGACGAAGATGGCCGACGCTTCAGTCCTGGGCCCGGAGGTGCCGCGGTCATCGCGTTCCCTTGTGCGTTGGCGTCCGGGGGAGGAGTGGGCGGCCGGTTCCCGAGGTTCGTGGCCGTAAGAGCCTCGTTCTGCTCTTGGTCCTGCTTTCGCAGTGCGTCTGCGATCACAGTTGGGATGCTGTGCCCATGCTGCCCGTTCGACGCGATGTAAAATGGTATATCCCTGCGGTTTACGGGTCGGCGAGGGCGGGAGCGTGATTGGGACTGGATCCGAGACGAGGGTATAGGACGTGAGTGAAGCCGGACAGAAGTACTCCTTGCTCTCCTTGCAGGCCTACTTCGACTACGCCCTCGGCGGCTATGGGGAGATTTCGCGGGCCTAGAGTGGTGACGGGGACGGTGTTGTGGCTTGCTCTGTTTCGGTTGCTTATGGGACATAGTTGCGAATCTACAGGATCATGGCGATGTGCCGCAACTTGCCGGAGCTAGCGTACGGAAGAGAATAAGAGGAGGAGTGAGTGGATAGTGACTAGGCATCGGAAGACAAGTATATTTTATAACCTAGTCTACATTCTCGACCATCATGTACATACAGCCATTCATCGTCTTTCACCTTCCACGTCGCCGCACATCTAGTCAGCTGCCTCGGCGCCGTAGCGGAATGATGATATCGATACCATCTGTATGGATGGGAGCGAAGTGTAAACATGCCTCGCAGTGACCTTTTGGGCGTATTGAAGGCGGGAATGCCCATGACGGGCCATTAATATACGACATATACCACTCGCTGGCATAAACAAAGAAACGCGTCGTCAGCGCGAATGGGAATCCGGCTTGGTGCTGCACTTCACGTCTCCTCTGCTGACTTGCTTGGGCGGACCAAATAACAGAAAAATAAACTCCCGACGCCGCACGTGTACCCAAGTGATTCGCCCCGTCTCCGAGCCGCCGAATCGGACTTCCCGTCTGTCTGTCAAGTCGCCCTGTGCGACACTCGACGCGGGGCGAAACAGACGGAGGGGAAAGTATTTAAAATTGACGTAAATACTACGGTAAACACGTCGTCTCAGGTAGAGCGTAGTTTCAGCCTAGATCGCATATCGGCCGTGACTGGGCAGCAAAGCGGATTTCACTCGCCGAGCGGGTGGATGAATGATTGGACTGCCGGAGCTGGATTGACTGGATTATGCAATGCAAGATGTCGTGTATGTATGTAATTGTGAATCATGTATTTCATGTGCGCCTGCAATACGGTGCGGTACCTAATGCCCCTCCGAGTCTTTTTCTTGGTCTCGAAATAAGAGAGAGCCTGATCGGGGAGTTAGGTATTACCTGCAGGTAGGCAGGCTTCGATGTCGATGTCGGGAACGACTCTGGTGCCGAGCCTGATAATCCCATACACCCATCTCCAGGTAGCTACTACCCATCTAAATCTTGTCTAACACGTGGGCAACGAGTACCTCTGAGTTGGTGATCCACACTTGTGAATACCCTATTCCAGCTTATTTTGCCGATCAGCATTAGATGCTTACAATACAGTTACCATTAAGCCGCAAACTCACCAACCGAGCACAAGCGAGCTCACACGGTCTGGTGGTCTAGTGGTATGATTCTCGCTTAGGGTACACCCTAAATATAAAACGCAAGTTGCGAGAGGTCCCGGGTTCAATCCCCGGCCAGACCCTTTCTTTTGCACTTTTTTTATACTATCTATCTCCGCCTGTCTTTCACCTTCAACTCCTTATTTATTCGCAGGGTTAGAAATTAATATCTTAATATAAGGACTAAACTTAGTACTACTAATTTAATATTAATATTAGTACCGATTTTTAAATATTAAGCTAGTATTAGTACCGGCTAATATTAAACTAATTTTTTTTAATAGTACTAAATATTAAACTAATTTTTTTTAGTAATATTAAATATTAAAAAAATACTAAAATAAATTTTATTTAAAGAAATTTAAAAAAAAAAAATTAAAAAATATAAAGAAAAATTAATTTATTAATTAAATAAAATAAATATAATATAAAGCTATATATTTTTAAAAAGCCCTTTTTTTATAATTTTATAATATAAAAATTAAACTAAAATAAATCTTTAAACTAGCGTGCTAAAATATATATATATTTTTTAATCTTTAATAATTTTTAAATCTTTTTCCGTTAAATTTTTAAAATTATTAATTTTCCAACTTTTTAATAAAACAAGTTAATTAACTATTTTTAAACTAAGTTTATTTTTATTTTTAGTAATAATATTACTAGTTATAAAAAAAACTCTTTTAATAGTAGCCGAAGTAGTAGAAATTATTAAATATTTTCGAGCTAAAAGTAATAATATTAAAAATCGTAAAGAATTATTTTTCTAATATTTTAAAAGATTTACCTATAAAATATTAATAAATAAACTATAAAAATAATTAAAATAAATTTAATAACTTACCTTTTTAAGTAAAATATTTTCTAATAAATAAACTATATATTTTTTTTTAATATTAATTATTGTATTTAAATAAAGGTTGTTTTCGAAATCGGAATTGTTTAATTTGTTATTATTATTTAAAATATTAAAAAAATCAGCTAATTCGTCGATATTTAAATTTATATCGTTAAATATATTTAAATTTAAATAGCTATTAAATATTAATAAATAAATAAATTAAATATATAAAAAATTAAATAAACTTACTAGTTATATTCGGCTTTTAAAAGACAAATAATATTTTTATTAATATTATTATAAAAATATAATAATCCGTTTAGTTAAAAATATATTATTTTAAACCGAAGGTTTAAAATAATACTTATAATATAAGCTTTATAATTTTATAAATCATTATACATTAATCGACGCAGAAAATATTTTTCTAATTTAATAATACCGCTTTAAATAATAGTAATTAAATTATATAAATAAAGTTTTTATTAAATAAATTAATAAATTAGCTTTTAAATTTAAATTTAAATATATATTTAATAAAATAACTTATTAAATTTAAATTTTATTATAATCGATTTTCGATATTTTAAATAAATGCTTTTAGTTTATTATATATTTTATAAATATATAATAAACCTTTTAATAAAGTTATATAAATTTCCCCTTGTAATTTAACCGAAGGTATAATAAAAATAATAAAAAGCTTTTTTAGCTCTTTAATAATTAACCAATCTTTAACGGTTAAAAATATATCTTAAAATTCGTTATTTAACGTATTTCGATTAATATATTTAAAAGGCTTTTTTAATTTAATAAAAATATTTAACATATAATATATTAAATTTTAACAGGTAACATTATTTAATAAAAATTAGTATTAAATTAATAAATTAATAAATAAATAAATATTTACTAAGTGGAATTTTTATAATTTTATAATTTTAAGGTAAAATAAAATTTCGTTTAGCTTGATTAATTTTATCGATTAATAAATCTTTAATTTTAGTTATATATTTAATTAAAACAATTATTCGGCAAATTTAAGTCATTAAATCTAATAAATAAATTAATATAAATATAATAAATATAAAATATAAAAATTACTTACTAATATCCTCGTTATTATAATTATTATATAAATTATTATTTATATAATTAAATAAATTTCTTTTCTTGTTTATAGTTAAAATATACTTTTTAAATATAGTTTAAACTAATATATTAATAATATAAAAAATGTAGTAAATATTATTTATAAAGTCTTTATTAATAAAATTTAAATAATTCCGCTTAAAAGACTTTATAAATATATTATTATTACTTATATTATCTTAGGTAATACTATAAATTAATTAGTTAAAAGCATAAAAATAATTAAAATAAAATAAATAAATAAATAAATACTTAAAAATAATATTTAAAAAAATATTAAAATATAGCTTTAATATATTTAAAAAATTATTAAATATATTTAAGCCTATATACTTGTTATTTATTTTATTAAAACCAATTAACTTATATATTAAGTTAAATTCGAAATTAATAAAGCAAATAATAACACTTAAAAAAAATGTTTGCGTATTAAAAGTTTAAATATCGAAAATAATAGAAAATTTTCTATTATTTTTAATATTAGCTGTTAATTCGTTATTAAAAGCTATTAAAAAAGCTAAAAAAGTAGATTTTAAAATAGCTTTTATTTTATAGCGATTAATTAAAAAATCTTTATTTAAATAATTAGTAATTAAAAATATAATATAAAAATATAAAAAAACATATAGTTTTAAAAACTATATAAAATCTTAAAAAAATTTCAAATCGATAATATTAAAAAATAAATTATTATTAATAATAAAATTAAGTATTTTATTATTAATAATATCTTCGTAGTTTAAATCTTAAAGTGTATTATTTCGGGCTTTTTTTTAAGTTTATAAATTAAAAAAATCGCAATTATTAAATAAAGTATTTAATTTTATTAAAATAAATTAATAAAATTAATAAACTTAATAAATTTAATAAATAAATAAATATTTACTTTTATTTAATCGTTTTTCGGTTTTTTTATTATAAGTAATTGCAAAGTGTTTTAATTTATAATGTTTAACAAAGTTAAAAGATTAAAAACCTTTAACTTTAACTATCGATTTAAATAAACACTTATATTAAGTTAATTAGTTAAAAAATAAAATAAAATAAAATAAAATAAAATAAAATACTTATATAATATATTATATTAATATTTCTTAATCTTTATTAATATTAATAAATAATAAAGTTTTAATAAATAAACCTTTTTTAATAATATAAATATTAAATTTTTTATCGTTTAATTTAAAAGATTCGTTATTATAATCTTTTAAAGTAAACAAATTATTATTTAATTTAAAATCGGTATTAAATTCGGTATTTAATTCCGTATTAAAATTATTAATATTAAAAGTATTGAAATTATCGTTATTATCGAAATTATCGTTATTTAAATTACTATAATTAAAATTATCGATATCTTCAGAAAGATTACTCGAAATAATAATATTTTCGTTATATTAAACCGTTTAATAATTAAAAAAAAAATCTATTTTAAATAAAATAATAAAGTATAATACTTATTAATATTAAAAAAACAATAAAAAGTTAAAGAAGTAAATAATATAGCTAAAGTTTTACTAGTAAAAAAAAAAACAATAAAAGAAAAAAAAATAAAATAAAATATTATATAAAAAATTAATAATATAATTAGTTTAAAAAGTTTTATTATTAATATTATTAATTATTAAGCTAATTTAATAATTAATAATATTTAATAATGCTTATAAATTAAGTATTAATAATAAAATATTATTAAATCATTAATTAAATATTAATAATATTTTATTATTAATTAAGCTTATTAATTTAATTTTTTATATATTTTATTACTTAATTAATTAAATATATTTTTTTATAAAAATAAGTTAAATTTTTTTTTAAAACAACTTTTTTTTATTATCTTTTTTTACTTTTTATTTTAACAATAGTTAATTTTTTATTTAAACTTATTATTCGATTTTATTTTCTTTAATATTTTTTTTATTTAACTTTATTTTTACTACATTATTTTATTATTTATTTTTACTACATTATTTTATCGATTATTTTATTATATTACCTTATTAATTAATTTTACTATATTATTTTATTAATTATTTTACTATATTACCTTACTAATTATTTTTAATTTAATGTTTAATTATTAAACGTAAGTAAATTATTATACTTTATATTAAATAATTACTAATAAATTTATTTAAATATTTAAAAGTTTTTATTAAAATAATTTTAAATATTAAATTTACTTTAATATTAAATTTATTTTAATAAAAATATTTTAATATTAATAATATATTAAGTTAAAT